ACGTATTCAAAGCACGCAACTCCTCATGTTGGATTCCGTAGATATCTCAGGTCTTAGGATCCAATCATGGAACCGCCATATGAGATTCCAGTCATGACGCTAGTCCATGTGACAATCTCATGCGGGTCAATCCCGTATTCCGTTCTCCAACGAATACCTATGACTGTGATCGTATCCAATACCTATGATCATCTCTATGATCATCAATCACACATCATACTAGTCTTATTATGTCGTTATTCCCATAACGACACAAGACTAGGGAGTTTAGTATCATTCATAATGATACATGGATTTCATAACAGATCTAGTATGCAAGAACATGTAATGAATCAATAAAACCATAGAAAGTATCAATACATCGAATGTATCTAAAGAAAGCTCATAAACAGTACATCATAGAGCACTAAACCAACAGGAACTTGTCTGCTAGGACTCGAATCTGCTATTCGATTTTGTGCATCGAGAAAACAAAACTTAGAATTCCTTGAACTTTTTGGATCTCACCAAAAGCCCTTAGTATCCTGTCAAAAGTCGGCACTTAAGTCTTTTTTAACAATTAGGGTTTTTAATCTCCTTTTATAAAGTGATTAACCCCAATTTCGATTTAATTTCGGAAAATCTGAAGCTCGGAGCGGACGGTCCAGAAATACACGCGGACCGTCCGTTCCAGCATGTAGAACGGACGGTCTGCCCTTAGTGGACCATCCGTTCCAGACCTTCTGGAACGGACAGTCCGGTCTGGACCGTAGCGGACCGTCCGTTCCAGACCCTTCCGTCTTGGTTTTTCCGTCGTTTTCTCGTGCGTTTTGTCCTTCCCTGCGTGTGTGACCCTGTAGGCTCATTCGATATAGCAGTATAACCCGAAATCTCTATTTCGGATATACAAGTCATAAGCGGTCTCTAGGAAGACACTATGACTACCTATCCCGAATAGAGTTTGTTCGTGATCTTTAGAACGCCAGAGATGATTCCGGTTGATGATCCTCTTGTATCACGATATCATATGTCGAACATAAGGCATGGACAAGCCACCTTATCAGGTTCGACTGCTTTCTCGTTCACTGAGTTCGACTGTCAGAAATAGACGACGCTCGTCTATAGTGCGGTCACACATTTCTACAGTCTCGCTCGCACGAGGGGCCCAGCGATATCTCTCTCTTTTACGAGAGGTACAAATCCCGTCTTGACTATCTACAATCCAGCACATGATTCGTTTCGTACCTGATACACGCCTTTATAGTCCTCCTGTTACGCAGGACGTTTGACGTATTCAAAGCACGCAACTCCTCATGTTGGATTCCGTAGATATCTCAGGTCTTAGAATCCAATCATGGAACCGCCATATGAGATTCAAGTCATGACGCTAGTCCATGTGACAATCTCATGCGGGTCAATCCAGTATTCCGTTCTCCAACGAATACCTATGACTGTGATCATCAATCATACATCATACTAGTCTTATTATATCATCATTCCCATAACGACACAAGACTAGGGAGTTTAGTATCATTCATAATGATACATGGATTTCATAACAGATCTAATATGCAAGAACAAGTAATGAATCATATACTCTCATAAAAACCATAGAAATTATCAATACATCAAATGTATCTAAATAAAGCTCATAAACAGTACATCATAGAGCACTAAACCAACAAATATTTATTATAAAAAAGAAAATTTTTTAGTGATATTTTTGCTTCTGTATTTTTTTGTTGGAGAAGCATTTTGATTGAGATGCGTGTAGGATAATTCATTAAATATTTATATATTCTAATACAAAATAAGAAAAATTGTATGATTCTAATTTGGACACGACATACATGTTTCTCTCGCTCTCTACATCCATGTCTAGAAAGTGAGAACTTTTATTTTCTTATTTCTTTTAAACATCGTATTTGGTTTCATCTTCTCCTCATCGTCATACAAAAAAGTCTAAAGTCAAATCATACAAGTTCCTCACTTTGATCCATTCGCAGGTACAAGAATTTTAAATTCCGTATAAAATACATATTATTATATTTATAACATTAATAAATAACTCTACTTTGATTTTATATATATATATATATATGACACGTGACTTTTGCTTTGTATTAACTTTTAAAAAAAAATTACAAGCCAAGGCTGAATACAAAAAGGCTCTTGGCCAAAATTAAAAAAACCCCATGTGACAGTGGTAAAAACAAAAGGCCACTAAATTCTGAATTTAATTTAGCGTCAAACGGTACCAACATTCGAGCAATGAGTTATCCGGATTTCTCCGGGTGGATACCTTCATAGCTAGTAGATTATCTCGCATGGCGCGGTCAATTTTCTGGCGAATCTCGGCATGAGTTCTGATTTCTCCCCTGAAGATACGACTATTTCTTTCCCGCCATATCTCGTATACTGTTAATTGCGTACATAGCTTCATGAGTTTTAGCTGATCTCGATCTCGCCCCTGGGAATTGTCTTCAACCCATTGTATACAATCGCCAATCTGTTTCGGCGGTGACGGCCAGCAACGACCAACCAAATGAATCCAAACATCAAGGCTAAACGAACATTCGAAGAATAAATGCTCGTGAGATTCCGCATCAATGTTACAAAGGGGGCACATACTTGGGATAGTCATGCCCCAAGAGATTAGGCGATCTCTTGTAGGCAGTCTCTTCTGGATCGCCTGCCATAGGACGAAAGCCATGCGCGGAATCGACCCTCGGAACCAAACCATCTTGAACCAAGGGACATCATGAGTATGTTGCCGAAGTAGCGCACGAGTGCTTGCTGAGTTAAAGACCCCCCGATAGTGACCAGATTTCTGCCGCCATAGATAAACATCTTCATCTCCGCTGTGGACTGGTGGTGGCAGCGTTAAAATGGCCAGCTGAAGTTCAAGAATCCTATCGGTTCGTGCAGCCGGAAATCTCCAACTTCCAGCTGGAGCCGCCTCGCTTACCAGCGCATGACGAGGAACCTGCAAGAGTCTAGGCCCCGCTTCCCCGACAAACAAGATCAGGGGGCCCTTGTCCGTCCAGCTATCAAACCAAAATGAAGTTCTTAAACCGTTACCAACTTTCACCTTGATGAAGGTCCTCGCTAAGTCTCTTAGCTTGAGTAGTTTCCTGAAGTTGTAAGATGCACTAACTGTCACCGGTGTATCCCAAAAACCATGCTTTCTGACAGTGTTTTCCTTGATCCAATCCACCTAGAGCGAACATTTATTAGTGAATAATAACCAGATCAGCCTTAGACGAAATGTGATGTTCATCTCCTCGAGCTTTAGAAGTCCCAATCCTCCTTCCCTCTTTGGTTGACAGATGTCCTTCCACGCGATTCTGTGTCCAGAATTAGACTCCTGCTTGTTGCTCCATAGGAACCGTGAGCACATACTATCTATCTGTCGCAACAAAAACTTGGGCAACATAAATACTAGGCTCCATGAATTCACCAACCCATAAATAACCGAGGCTATTAGCTGCACTTTCCCAGCTGAAGAAAGGACTTTGGCTGACCAAGCTGAGAGTTTGGCTTTGATCTTGTTAATCAGGGGCAAGTAATCCTCTCGTGACAGTCTTCGCGGTGATAGCGGGACACCCAAGTATCGCACAGGAAGTCGCCCGCGAGTCAGTCCGAAGACAGAGCAAATTCTGTCAGCTTCAGAAGCTCTCATTCCACTAAGGAAAAGCTCCGACTTGCTGTTGTTGATCCTCAGCCCGGAGTATCGACTAAATTCAGCCAAGAGCCTCATTATTCTTCCAATGGAACTCTCTGAACCCTGCGAGAAAATCATAATGTCGTCGGCAAAAGCCAGGTGAGTTATTAGAGGCTTTTGGCACTTAGAGTGAAGTTCAAATTCCTTCGCTTGGGCACTTCGATTCAGCATACAACTCAAAAAGTTTGGTTGCTACCAACTCTAAATCTCGTGTGAAATGTAGTTATTTAATTCCAAGTAATTTTGTGATAATTTAAAAGTATATTTTTTATTTTTTATTATTCAGGTATCCGCAAGTAATTACCCGATCCAAAAAAAACAAACTCGAACTCAAATCCAAATTTGGGGTTTTAGAGATACTTAAACCTGATCCTTATCTCGTTATAAGATAAATATCCAAAATTCGGATATTCGGCCATTGGATTGAGATATATATCCGAAATTCGGGTATTTGTCTACCCTAATGAGTTGGATACTCGAAAATTATGCATTTGAGCATCTGTGAGGTAAAATTATGTATCGACGATTTTCACCTTCTCTCGAAAATAATTGCGGTTTAGGATGGAGTTCCAAACTCTAGATAGAATCCGAACCGTTCGGATTCCGGGTAAAATATCCTTAAATTCTCATACACCCAATCCATCCACCTTATTTTGTTTTGTCGGTCTCTTTTTAAACTTTTTAATAGTTTTCAGATATATTTCAATATACACGTTTATTGTAAATTCATTAAAGATTATTCGAATTTTAGATCTGATTAATTACTCTAAATAAATATTAAGGCTGTGTATAAATATTATGTGTAATTTTTTTTCATTTTTCGACCCGTGATGGTTCAACTTTGTAACATTTTTACCGAACAAAAATCTCATGCAGTAAATATATCCCTAATGATTTCATTTTCCACGAGAAGGGAAAGAGCATCCTAGTGTGGTAAGATAACGAGTTAAGGAAAAGATGGGTATCTTTTTTTCGTCTCACTTTTATAATTTTATCCTCTCTCTCTCTTTCATATATTTCTTTCCATCCCTTTTTTTATATATAAATATTTTATTTCTTTTCGTTCTGTTTATTTTATATTTCCCCTTTCAGCGAGAGAGAGAGAAATCGCAGAGATCTTTGAGTCTCTGACACAGACCAAACTCTCACACAGATCTAAGCCCAGGTTGGTTATATTGCATATATATGGCTGTCCACATATATAGATTTGATGTGTGTGTGTATATATATATATATATTTGTATGTGTTTGTCTGTCACTTTTGCAAAATCTCTATGAGTTTTTTTTTTCTGGGTCGTTTTTTGTTTATTCAAATTCTTCCATGTACCTTTCCTTTTGCAGCTCTGAGATGATCATGAAACACGTGCATACTCAGATCTCTCTATCAATCCAGGTTCTTCATCCTTTTTTTTTCTTTCCCCAATTCTATATTTTAATCATTTGATTCTCTCTATAACTATTATTTTATTATTTATTATCAATCATATAATTTATATCCTTAATTTTATCCTTCTTTGTACACATAATCTATTCCCTCCTCCTCCTTCTTAGAGATGATGATGGTCACAAAAAATTCCATGATGTTTTCAAACCCTTTGAATTTTTGTTCCCTTTGATTCATATAATACAAATACCTATACATATATGCATCCGTGTGTATATAGCTTCTTCCTTTTTTTTTAATTAAACCTTACTCATCATGTCTTTGGAGCAGTTCCAGTACTGACTCGGTGAGCCAAGAACAAGAAAGAAGAAACAAGAACAAGAAGATCTAGAATCAAGAACAAGAATCCTACACGGTTAGACTTCGATGGCGTACTTCCACGGAAACCCGCCGGAGATCTCCGCAGCGACGGCGTCGGACGGCGGTTTACAGACACTGATCCTCATGAATCCGACAACGTATATTCAATTCTCCGACCATCACCACCACCAACAAGACGACGACAACGACAACAACAACACCAACAGCAACAATTTCGTCTTCCTGAATCCTCACGCGCCACCGCAGACCGCCACCCAACAGTTCGTCGGAATTCCACTCGCCGGACACCACGAATCCTCCGCCACCGCGGCCGCAGAACTCCATGGGTTTCTCCCGCGCGTGCAGTACAATCTCTACAACAACAACAATAGCAATAACAATCACCACGTGGACCCCATCGCGTGTGAAACCCCACGCGCCTCCTCGCAACAAGGCCTCTCACTCACCCTGTCTTCCCAACAGCAGCAGAGACAACAGTCTCAGCAGCAAAATCTCAGCTTTGGGTTCGGGCCTGGAGATGAAATCCGGGTCGGGTCGGGCTCGACCGTGTCGGGATTAACAAACAGTGTCGTCTCGGGTCTTTTAAGCTCGAAATACTTAAGAGCCGCGCAAGAGCTTCTTGACGAAGTCGTCAACGTTAATAACTCTAACGAATTGTTGTTGCCGTCGACGACACCGAAGAAGGCGAGTAGCGGCGGGGGGGGGGGGGGGG